GTCCTAGGATTGAGTCCTGCATCAGGCTTCATGCTTTTCCCTCTGCCTATGTCTCAGCCTCTCTCTCTGTCTCTCATAAATAAATAAATCTCTTAAAAAAAAATGAGGCAAACTATGTTTAGGCTTTTAAGAATGAACACTTTCTACTTCATGCTGCCTGGAGGATTATGTGTATAATATTGAAGAAAAATGCCAGTCTTTAACCGTACAAGATTCCAATTTTTGTCTTCTTAGTTTCCAGGAGACTCATAAGCCAGGTCTTACTTGTGCTGGGGCCAGTTTTATACTCTTCCTCCTAAAGTTGTACTTGTGGTGATATAATAGCTAACAGAGGCCAAAAACTGGGCGGGGCTGGGGTACCTGGCCGGTTCAGTTAGTAGAGCATGCGACTCTTGATCTCTAGGTCATGAGTTCAGACCTCACATTGGATGTAGAGGTTACTTTATTTTTTATTATTATTTTAAGGTTACTTTAAAAGGTGTGGGGGGGCAGACCCTACCCATTGACCATTGTCTATATGTTGAAAAGGGACAAATACATATTACTCATGGGGTCACAGATGTCTGATTCTGATTTTATTATTTTTTTGTTTTTAAGGTTTTATTTATTTATTTGATCGAGAGTGAGAGTCCAAGTAGGGGGAGTGGCAGAGGGAGAGGGAGAAGCAGGCTCCCCACTGAGCAGGGAGCCCTGCAACAGAGTTTGATCCCAGGACCCTGGGATCACAACCTGAGATGAAAGCAGACACTTAACTGAGCCACCTACATGCCCTAATTCTCATTTCTTATCTCCTTTATTTTTTTTCTTATCTCCTTTAAATACTACTTTAGTTTTGATGTTTTTAAAAACGTGTGTACTCTGTAGAACATCATAACTTGCAAGTTTGCTCTTTGCCTGTGTATGTGTGTGAGAGGGGGGTTGGAGATTATTAATTGGTCTTCATTTTTTTTTTTTGGTGTCTTTATTTACAAACTTATTTTTACGCAAAAAAGGATAGCCAAACCTGCCGAACCAAAAAGATAAAAAATGTCTTTTTTTTTAAAGATTTTATTTATTTTAAAATAAAAAGATTTTATTTATTTATAAGAGACACACAGAGAGGCAGAGACACAGGCAGAGGGAGAAGCAGGCTCCCTGTGGGGAGCTGGATGTGGGACCTGATCCTGGGTGTTCAGGATCACGCCCCGGGCTGAAGGCAAGTGCTAAACCGCTGAGCCACCCAGGGTTCCCCTCCAGAAATATGTTTCTGAAAAGAAAAATGAACCTGAAGATTATATAGAGTGCTTTTGCCTATCCTTTGGTCTTTATCTGTCTCCTCTGAGAATTTTTTTATCTTGCTCTGGATTACCTGTGTTGAAAACTCCTACCATAGTCGGTTGCCCTGGTTTAAAGCAGGGGTGGAGGGAACACATTTTTTTCTGGGAGTATTTCTAAATCCAGGAATGGTGGTTATGGGAATTGTGCAATAATTGAAAACACTTAACCCTTTGTTCCTCATTTTTAACCCAAATCCTTCCTGGATTAGGTCTTCCTTTTTTTTTTTTTTTTTTTTTTATTTATGATAGTCACAGAGAGAGAGAGAGGCAGAGACACAGGCAGAGGGAGAAGCAGGCTCCATGCACCAGAAGCCCGACGTGGGATTCGATCCCGGGTCTCCAGGATCGCGCCCTGGGCCAAAGGCAGGCGCCAAACCGCTGTGCCACCCAGGGATCCCTGGATTAGGTCTTCCTTATAACACATGTTAAACACTTACACTGATAAATCTGGACAACCAGACCAGTCTGTTCTCCAAACCTACAGTAGAGAAGGGCATAGAGTTACTTAAACTAAAACCAAAAATGGCAATAAATAAAATAACCTTTGGAAAAGTTGCAGGATTCAGTTTTGTGTTGTACATTCTTATTAGTATTGTCTTAGCAGTTCAGTTTTTCCATTCTGTAAAAATAGAATTAAGGCGTGCCTGGCTGACTTAGTAGGAAAAGCATGTGACTCTTGATCTTGAGGTCTTGAGTTTGAGCCCCACAATGGGTGTAAGGATTATTTTTTTAAAATTATTTTTAAAAATAGGGTTAATAATACTTACCTTGCAGAGTTGTCTACCACATATCTTCAGTGATGCCTGTGTCAAACGATTTTGGTACAAATGCTAGACAGTTTAAAATATGTATGACATTACTTCCAGATTTTTTTTAAGCTTTTATTTATTTATTTATTTATTTATTTATTTATTTATTTATTTATTTATTTATTTATTCTTGAGAGACCAAGAGAGAGAGCGAGGCAGAGACACAGGCAGAGGGAGGAGCAGGCTCCATGCAGGGAGCCTGACGTGGGACTCAATCCTGGAACTCCAGGATCACACCCTGGGCTGAAGGCAGGCACCAAACCGCTGAGCCACCCGGGCTGCCCTACTCCCAGATCTTTTCCAGTCATGATACATAGATGAAAATGAAACTATTGTATTTGTAGATCACAGTGTAGTAAACTGAAGATGCTCCTTTGACCAGAAGCAGTTTCAGGGGCTCAAGTTATCCCAGTTCCCACCTACCCAACTACCTATGGGAATCGATAAATAATTGACCTGTACCCATCCACAACATACTGATCGGGAAACTTTAGATAGGGTGTTACATACGAATCACATCAGGAATCTTTGTTAGAGAAAAAAGTCCCAATTCTGCTTTGTGCTGTACTGGCCTTGTTATTACTAGGCATACTCTTACCACTTGGTGATAAAGATTGCCACTTATTCTAGACTTTCCTTATTCTCACAGTTTTCAGTTCAGTCAAGAATAAAAATTGCCTCTCTGCTATTAGATTAGAACATCATAGTTCCTACCAGTGTTCTGACTGGCCCATCTTGGGTTACATGCATACCCCCCAAACCAACATCATGGCTAGACCAATGGAATCCTTTTGCCAGCACTTGCTGGTATATCTCTGCTATGGTCACACAGGTTGTGTCCTTGAGGGTATGGCATGATTTTAAGGGGAAGATGAACCCCATCAGAACCAACAGAATGGATTCCCCATTTAAAAAAAAAAAAAAAACAAAACTATCTTGCAGTCCAGAGGAAGAAAAGAAGTGAAGATGTGCTGGGTTAACTATTTTCACGGTCCACTATAGTACCTGACATTTTTTTCTGAAAGCATCTTGTATTTCTGTGTAGAAGTATATGGTATTAGAAGTGAATGAGTTACTGATGAGCACTTGGTATTATATGCAGCTGATGAATTGTTGAACTTTACATCTGAAAATAATGATGTACTATATGTTGGCTAATTGAATATAAATTTGTAAAAAGGAAAAAGTGAGTTCTTATTTTGTTAGCAATGGGTACTCACCATTTTCAAAATTATATTTCCTAATACAGTATTTTAATAGTTGTCCAGTGTGGTAGCCACTAACTACACGTAGCTATTTATTAATTTAAGATTTTATTTACTTATTTGACAGAGAGAGTACAAGCAGGGGGGAGGAGCAGGCAGAGGGAGAGGAAGAAGCATACTCCCTGCTGAGCAGGGAGCCTGCAGTGGGGCTCAATCCCAGTACCCTGAGATAATGACTTGAGCTAAAGGCAGGTGTTTAACCGACTGAGCCAACCAGGTGCCCCTATGTGTAGCTGTTTCAATTAACTAAAATTAAATGTGAAAAATACAGTTCTTCAGTTGTAGGAGCTGCCTTTATGAGTGCCTACTTGCTACTTGTGGCTGGTGGTTATCATACTGGATAATACAGATTATACATTTATATCACAGAAAGTTGTATGCAACGTGGATCTAGACCGTTAGAACTTTTCCTTTTCTCCTCTTTATACCACACTTTATCCTATCTTGCTTCTCTTTCTAACAGGTTTTGTAGATGTTTTCTTCTGAGGCAGCCCTTTGGAGTTTTCTGCACACATTTTTTTTGCTTCTAGGATGTTCTGTCAGTCCATTTCCCATCGTTGGCAGTGATCAGTTTCTTTGAATCTTTATTTTATAATTACTGAAGAAATCCAGGAAGATCTTGGTGGGGAGCAACAAGGAGTTATTCTTAAGCTAATTGAAGGGGTGTGAGTGTTTGTAACAAATGGATTTTAACTAGACAGGAAAGTTGTCCGAAAGTGCCTTTGTATGAAAGTACCTTATATAATATAATCACATAACAGAAACTTTTACCCTTTTTAGGAAAAGGTTTCATCAAATCAAACATCTAATTGCCTGGCTCTATTTTTTGCTTGGGGGAAGAGCAAAGGCTATTTTGCAACAACACAATATATAACCTCACACCAATGAGAAAAGGTAGAGAAATTGGGGTAAGGGATGGCATCTAACTTGCTCACTGTTGGTGTCTCTGGCACACGTTAAGTACTTAGTAAATCTTTTTGAATAAAGATTTCCATTATTCAGAAACTAGTTCTTCCATGTTTGGGTTATTGTTTTCTTCCATTCTCCTGCTTAAGTGTCTTCCTTCCCTTAGAAGTATGGAAGTGTCTTCCTTCCCTTAGAAGTATGGAAAAGAAATACACTTATACGTAACATCATTTTTCAGATCCTCTTAAGCAGCCATGTTAATAATGAAGTAGATGTGTGGAGCAGGATCATTTTTACCTTCTCCCCAAAAAGGATGGCCTTGAAGCTTTTTTTTTTTTTAATTTTGCTTTTGCTTTTTCCTGTTGTACTTAATTTGTAGTCTTCAAAATTTATTATTTGAAAGCTTTCAGGCTTCCACTTTCTGCACATTGGAACATGTAGCCATTTGAAACCCTGCCTTCTACAGAGTTTATTCTGTGCCCTGCAACATGACCTTTATGTGAGGCTCACAGATTTTCTTTGTCTCCTAGTTAGCAGCTTTTTTCTAGCCTAGCCAGCTGAGTATTGAAAATAAAATTTTATATTCTATTTCTATTCCCCTGAGGTTTTAAATATTATATTAAATTTAAAAGCACAGTATTTTTGGATCTTGTAAATATGAATATTTGTAGCTGACCCTTTCTTTCCCTCCACCCCATTTCTAGGACTATCCTGTTAAGTGTAATCTCATTGCTCAATGAGCCCAACACCTTCTCCCCAGCTAATGTGGATGCTTCGGTTATGTTCAGGAAATGGAGGGACAGTAAAGGAAAAGACAAAGAATATGCTGAAATCATTAGGTAAGGTGCTTTGTCTTACCTTCCATTTGACTACTTCAAGTCCTCATACAGAACTAAAAGTATATCCTAGAACCAAGGGTTTAAGTCAGATTTAAATATCCACTCCATTTCTCTCAAATAGATTTATTATTTGGGAGGATATTTCTGCCTGAGCCTAATGAGTTTGGCTTTGGAGATGGCACACACTGGAAGATAATGCTGCAACAGATGTGATTCCTGGGAACCAGAACTTCCAGGTTCTGAACCAGTGAAGTTTACAGACTGCCTCTGAATCGTTTAGGGACACTGTTCAGGAGTTTCAGTATGCTCATTAAGCATAGCAAACACCCAAAGTATTCCAGACATTCTAGATATTTTTGTTTTCAAAAAATTTAATGAAGCCCTATAGTTTATTTGCCCTTTTGACCATAGCAACAAGTATCTTCTGGGTGTCATCATTATTAGCAACACTAGTATTTATGGTTTAAAGAGCCATAGAAGCTTACTCTCATTGGGAGACTTGGAATCTACCCCAGCTCTGTCACCCCTCATAGGACCTTTTATCAGTTAATTTTGGGGGTCTTTAGAGTTTTATCATCTGTATAAAAGGAGGAAAAACGTAGAAGGGGATTGGGGCTCGACCATTCATCTCTTGATCATATCCTGAGTAGAACATAAGGTTTTCTTTTTTTTTTTAATATTTTTATTTATTTATGATAGTCACACACACACACACAGAGAGAGAGAGAGAGAGGCAGAGACATAGGCAGAGGGAGAAACAGGCTCCACACACTGGAAGCCCGACGTGGGATTCGATCCCGGGTCTCCAGGATCGTGCCCTGGGCCAAAGGCAGGCGCTAAACCGCTGCGCCACCCAGGGATCCCGAACATAAGGTTTTCTTAACAATAGCCAAGAATCGATACTTGAATTGCAATAAATTCATTTCTCCTTAGTACTGTTACATTTTTGTACCCTTAAAATAAAGCCCCAATGATAGTTCTATCACATTCTCTGCATAGTTTAGTAAGCACCACAGTTTATACAAATAGAGTCCCTCTTTATAACTCTAGTCAGCATGATGCCATATGATGGAAGGAAAACTGCATAGAAATATAGGTGAGTAATATATAGATCAGCAGTTCTCAGCGTTTTCCTCCCACTAGATAGAATCATCTTTAGGCCCCCCCCTTCTATAATCATATCATTTAGTGAGATTACAGGGCTAAAATCTGGGCACCTATATTTTGTTTTTACCAGCCACGTAGGTGACTGGTATATTTGAAAGATCGAAGATAATTAGTATAATTAGTAAGGATCTAGAGATTTCGAGGAGCTGTTGTAGGTTGAAGATTAAAAGATAGGAATGCTTCATAAAGTAGTCCGGATTAAAGCCTGAGCTTGGTGTTCAAAGAAAGGTAAGATTTTAGTAAGTGAAGAAGTGATGGAGTAAAAAAAAAAAAAAAATTTAAGATTTTATTTTTATTTATTCATGAGAATACATAGAGAGGAGAGAGAGAGAGGCAGAGACACAGGCAGAGGGAGAAACAGGCTCCACGCAGGGAGCCTGACATCAGGCCCTTGGCTGAAGGCGGCGCCAAACCGCTGAGCCACCCAGGCTGCCCGATGGGGTAAAAATTAAGGGAAAATTAGAGTTTTGAAAGAATCTAGTTGACTAGAGGAGGCTGAGATAGGGAGAAGCTGAAATGAAGACTACACCGAGGCAGTAGCAGTGAGAAAACATTTGAAAATAGGGCTTTGGAGTGAGGTTTATGATTTTAGGAAGTAATACTCTTAAAAGAAAAATGGGAGAAGCCACCATAGAGGTCAAAAACAGTAACTGCCGACTTGCTGAGTTAGGGTCCCTATGGAACACGAGGGTGGAGACATCCCAAAGGTTTTCTCAACGGTGTAGAGCTCAGAAGATAGGGGCTAGAGCCTGATGGTTTGAGAGCTGTCAGCGTGAAGGGGAATGAATGGTGGTGAAAACCACAGGCCCAGGAACAGATTTAAGCCAGGATGCATCAGCAACAGCAGGATGTCAGGCTTGGCAAAGTAAGACAGACAGCAAGATCAATGGAGAACTGTCTAAATAAAGGCAGCAGAAGGAAGGTAAGAGGGTGGTGATTTGTTATTTTAAGATCAGTTTCCTCAGTCCCTTGATGGCTTAGATTTTCATACTTTTTTTTTTAAATGAAAGATACACATTTTTTAATGTTTTTTTTTAAATTTTTTATTTATTTATGATAGTCACAGAAAGAGAGAGAGAGGCAGAGACACAGGCAGAGGGAGAAGCAGGCTCCATGCACCGGGAGCCCGATGTGGGATTCGATCCCGGGTCTCCAGGATCGTGCCCTGGGCCAAAGGCAGGCGCCAAACCGCTGCGCCACCCAGGGATCCCCAGATTTTCATACTTCTTGAAGGAAACTTTACCCTTCCATCCATCCAGTCAGTATTTTTAAAATTTTTATTTATTTTTTTTGCAGAGCTGTATGTGCCAAGCTGTATTACAGGCATTAGGGAAATAGCAGTAAGAAAGACAAAGTCACACTGGGGAGTGAGGGGGATGGGTAGGGGAAGGAAACTGACAGATTAACAAATGGGGACGATCATAAGAATTACTAATAGTGGTTAAGTAGCATAATGTGAAAGAGTGACTAGGTGGCTGCTTTAACTTGGGTTGTTAGAACAGGCTACTTCTAAGATCTGAGTAATATAAGCAGCCAACCATGTGTAAAATCAGAACAACTGATCCACACAGAAAAATAACTGTTGTTCAGAGTACTTCAAAAGAAAAAATCAGGATGGCTATATTTGGGGTTATGGGAATGAAGGTAGGAAGGTGTGTCAGGCGACATTGGAACCTAAGAGAGGCTATTTCGAATCTACTTTAAGTGCAAATGGCAGGATTATTGAATTAAGAGTTGCTGGACTGTGTTGAGTTTGGTATGAGAACAAGCAGGGGAAAAAAATCTCTCAGGTCATTTTTGGCTAACCAATATCCAAGATCCACTGCCTTTAAATACTCTTCGAAAAGGTCATTAAGTCTTCTTCAAAATGGTACCTGATGGGCTGAGAACTTGTGATGTAGTAACCGTCCCATGCTTTAGGATAGGCACTGAAATTCAGAAACCTGAGTCATAATTTTTTTTTTTAAATAAGGAATCTTGATTATTAAGAAAAGCCAGTTGTAAATCCACCTTCAAGACAGAGACTTACATAAACTATCTCCCTTCAGGAAACAGGTTTCAGCCACTAAAGCCGAAGCAGAAAAGGATGGAGTGAAGGTCCCCACGACCCTGGCGGAATACTGCATCAAAACTAAAGTGCCTTCCAATGACAACAGCTCAGATTTGCTTTATGACGACTTGTACGACGATGACATCGATGATGAAGATGAGGAGGAGGAAGATGCCGACTGCTATGATGATGATGATTCTGGGAATGAGGAGTCGTGACGTGCTCCTTCAGTGCCCCGTACTGCCCTGCCGTCTCAGGCCAAAGGGAGGGGAGCAAGTGGGGACCTAGCAGTGGCCCCTCAGCAAAAACCTATCACCGGGGGTGGGAAAAACAAACATGGCTCCTGCTGACTCCCCTTATGGATCTCAGTTTGCTCCTTTTTATGGACCTCTTAATGGAGAGAAAGTAATCCTCTACAGAATGTCTGAATTCTTGCATTCTTTACCCTTCCATCACTGTATTGATTTTTTTTTTCCTTCTTTAAACCCAAACTCTTGCCTCACTTCGTCTCTACAGAGTGTTCACAGCAAAACACATTTGGTCTGTTTTTAGATTCTTGAAGAATTAAATAGTCTTTCATCGAGACGTTTAATGTGTTTAAAGCTGGGAACCCGTTGGAAGTTCACAAATGCTGCATATGCTGAGTAGCAAAAGAAAATGGGAAAAAAAATATAAAAACCCCACAAAACAAACGTTTTTAAAAAAATTTGCCAAGGTTTAGCTGCTCATTTACATTAGTGTGTGTGCATTCGATCAGCCCCATGGTGGTGAATTTGTTTCCTTTCCCTTCTTAAGGCTGGGATACAGTGGGCATCAGGGACTTTGTGCTATAAGCCTGATAAAATGTGTTCCCTAAAGGGCACAGAGCCCCTTCAGCCTCCGGGAAATCATCCTAACACAGGGGGCCTCAGCTACTCTGAGGAGAAAAGATCAGATTTTGTTTTTTGAAATCGATTGGGATCTAAAGCCTGAAATAAATATTCATACTTTACATAGAACTGAGCACTTGATTGCTATTTATTTTAAAAGACAGAGTTGTTACCCTCCCCACCCCAAGGGAGTGGGGAGAGAGTGGAGATTAGTGTGTGTGTGTGTGGAGTCTTAGTGATGGGAACAAGGAGTTTAAAATCACTATGCCAATATTGGTTGATGCTGCTGGGGAAAAAAGTCAAAACTGCTGGTGACCACTGTTGGGTGAACAAACATCTGTTTTATGTGAACATGGCCTTTCCCTCAAAGATTTTTTAAAAATCCTCATGGTGAGAGTGTTAAGTAGCCAGTTTTAATTACTCAGTATTATTCCTAGGTGCATGTGTTAAGATTTTGGTTTTCATTGAGCTGCTTATGCTGATAGTGATAGCTGTGGATAGACATGAGTGACCAGTTCCCGCTTTTCCTCGTTGAATGTGACCTGGACTTTTTCTCTCCTTTCAAAGTACTCTGGCTGTGGAGGGCAAGCAAAAGTTGTGCATGGAGCTTGCCCCGGGCTGCTTTGACTTTTCTGGCAGGGCTGAGGGAACTGGCCGCAGGCAGTGTCTGGGCAACGGCTAGATCTTCCAACTGAGCAGTGGCTGCAGCTTTGACTTCCCCCGTCTCAAACACGTGTTACTTCAATCAATATTGAGATCCATCAGCCTTCACCAACCAGGGACTTCAGAACTTGGCAGTGATTTCTCTTTCTCTTGGGAGTGGGCCAGTTCTTAGGAGGGCAGTGTTCTTTCAGTGGGGAAAATCATTATAATGTAAAATTACAAACTTCGGAAGGAAAATAGGAGCAGAGACTGGTTACAGTCCTCCTCCAGATCCCTGTGTACTGGTGTCAACTTGTCTCCAGATCATAGCTCAGAAAGAACCAAAGGGTTGATGAAGGACAGGGGTAGGATGGATCCTAGAACAGAGTAGGTAATGCTTACTTCCTTAGCTCCTCCTTCCTTTCTGATCTCAGGGTTTTCATTCGCTCTTCAGACTCCAAACATTTGCTGACTAATACCCAGCAGACCTCTCTGGCCTCGAAAGTTTGATTTGTTATTAAGTGGGAACATGCAAAGGATCGTATGGGATAGTGTTGAGCCTGGTTCCCAGAATCTGTCCAATCCCCATGGGGCTAGGACTGCTTACACCCTGAATCTAGCGATTCCAGTCAGATTCCGAGAACAGGGCAGCCTTTGTGACAAACACTGGCCACAAATTCCAATAGAAGGTTGTTGAAACTAGCTTTTTACACCCCACGCTTAAATAATGCTTCCAGATAACCTTCCTATCTACTGGAGCCCAAAGTGTCTCACAATGCTCTGATTACCCCATTATCCCCACACACATTTACAGCCAGTAGCTTGGTCTTCTCTTGGAGCCCTAAAATTGAGGCTTTTATTTTTTCCCTTACCACGAAAGCACTTCTCTGCCAGAGCAGGCCAGGCACCTTAGCATTGCAGAAGGTGCTGCATTGCTCAGCCCTGTCCCGTTAGGCCCTGTTGGCCTCTGTCGCACGTTGACTCAGGGAGCCAGAGAGCCAGGTGGAGGTCATACCTCTCAGCCCTTTGGGGTGTTACTGTTGAGGGCAGGGTTTGCCTCTGATAAGAGTACAATCAGTTCCAGAAAATACTGGCATGTGTTGATTGGCTAGCAGGTGGACATTCTGGTAACTGACCTGTAAAACCCAGATGCTGGTTCCAGAGCTCTGTCCTGAGAACATATCCTGTGGCAAAAGAAAACTTGAGCATGTAATTTTTTTTTTCTCCTTGGGAGGTCTCAGGCTCAGACCAGAACCTTTTAAGTACCGTTGTGATTATTTGGTGTTCACAAATTCAGAATCCTGTATTTTTTAGATTCCTTTTGATTCTAGTGGAGGCTTCTTGATGCTCTTCAGGTCTGTGTGTTTTGAGGCTGGGTGGAGAAAGTAATATCATGATTCCGTTGTTGCTTCTCAAAGTCTTCCCACCCTATTTCATATCATTCCGGAGTTCTTTTCTATTAGCCAGACTTTTTGTAGTCCCTTCTTACCTCTTCCCTGGAAATTACTAGCTTCTTTATTTGCTGGTTTCCTATGTTTGGGACACATACAGTAAGAGATTGTAGGGGAAAGTGTGTAGTTCTCCACTGGAAGTTAACTCCCCTCCCCTCCCATTGATAAAAATGGTTTACATTTACAAAAAGATTCAGATGCAATTTTCAACTATTCTGAAACCAGCAGGACACACCTGACTTTAATAGTTTTCTTAGGTGAAATTGTAGATATTTTTTCTTCAGTTTAACTTATGAGAAAAGATTATCTGATGCATTTTTGTGTTGAACTTCCCCTTTAGTGGTTTATTTTGTCTTTTTCTGCCCATCTGTCTACTAATAAAATGTGAAATAAAATATACCTGTATTGCTACTTCCCCATGGGATGACCCTCTTCTTTCTTTGTGTTAAAGCTAAAAAGGTGGTCTCCGTACTTCCACTGTTCCCTTGCAGATTTTCCCCATGACTCCACTGAAAAATTAAAACCAAAACCGAATCTCACTGACCTTTTAAGATATTCTGCTCAACTCACCTCCTCATGGAACACACATTCCTGGTCCTTACTGGCTTTTAGGAAAGGTTATTAAAGATCCAGCTATTTGTTAACCATAATTCTTAAGTAGGGCACAATCTACCAGTACAACAAGTAGGTCAGTGAAGGGATGCAGGTGCTCTAGTGCCCTCCTTAGGCAAGCACTGTTTTCATCGTCACTTGTCTTCTGAACTTCCTACTGCTTTTAATAAGCAGGGATCAGAAAAGATTATAAAAGTCCTCTTTTGTTTCATTTGTAAACATGTTTTTTTCTGGCTGGGATCTGAAGCTGTGGGTCCCCAGTAGCATGTGCCCCATCTGATAAAATGACCACTGATGTGAGAGGCCAAAAGCAGAAAAGATGAGCACTGGCCCCGGGATGGTTCTGGCACACCGACTTGACCAATATTCCATGCACCATGCCAGTTGCTTATGTAGTCTAGACTGAACGGGTTATGTAGGAGTGAAAGGCTGTGAAGCCTCGGGCAACACCTCTAAGTTGGAGCACAAGTTGCACTGGAGACAACTGGGGTGATCTGCCTTTTGTCAGACAATAGGGCTAGTTGATGGCCCTCCTGGGCAGGAGGAAGGAGCTGCACTAGAATCCTGGCCCCAGGCGAATGGTTACTTAGGACTTTTCTAGAGCATGATATTTAGTCCAGGACCCACTTACCTACTTCATAGCACCCTGACTCACAGTCTTGTCTTCCACCCCATCCCTAGACTAACAATATTCCGTTTGGCTGGCGAAGAATAAAGGCTAGCAAAGCTGTGGTATACAAACTTCATCTCTCAGGCCGCGAGAAACGTATCCTCTCTTCTTAGCCTTTCTTTCAGATTTTTATGTCTGGTGACGTTCGGAAAAGAAATGTCCCTGCTCTGGTATTGCTGTTATCTAGGCCCTATAAGAGACTATCGAAGTTAACACTCTGCCCTGTCAGGGTTAGCAGCCTTCTCAGCCTTATTTACCATTCCACTCCCTGGATGCCCACCGGGGCCAAAGCAAGAGCAGGAATACCAATTTAAGCCCTCATGACCTATTGTCAGAAGACTGGCCATGTGGAAGGCCAGAGTGCCTGAACAATAATGAAGGCAGCCTCTGCCCTGAGCTACCCTTTAGTCAAACCACACAGAGACCGTGCATGCTCTCAGAACTTTATTAGGTGGAGATTGGGCAAAAGAGAAAACCCCTGAAACAGTCGCCCACCTGGTTCAGGACAACTGGAATAGAGCCTTTGCTTAGAGACGTGCTCTCACTGAGGTGAAGGCATATCTTTGATTTTTTTTTAAGGGAGCAGACTGACTGAACATCTCTGAGCACAACTTCAGACTGTTTTAAAAACGGTCAGCCAGAGGAAGGCAGGTCTCTTGGGGACAAGACCAGAAGCGGAAGCCTCTGCTCTATATGAAGACAAACAGGTGCCACTTTCATGTTGGGCAGGAAAGTATCTGCTATTCCCAGATCAAGATTTGGTAGGAGAGGAACATGACAAACGACAAGAGGACCAGTTTCTCAAGAAGAGAGGGCTTAAAGTAATTACACAGGGAAGGAAACTCAAATAATGGCTTACAAGGGAGCAAGATAAGTCGTGATTCTTCATTGGTACCTGACCCCAGTACCCAAACTGCCTTAAACCAGCCCTTCCAGACTGCTTCCAGCTGCCCAGCTAGGAGGCTCTACAGAAGGCCTGAAGGCAGAAGTGGGAAAGGGCTTATTTGCTACAGCGAGAAGGGGCTTGAGTCGGGACAGCAGACCTGGCTAAGAGTAGCAGCTGTACTCCCACACCCCCAAGACTTCTATCACATTTACAAATACATACATAAATACATTACATACAATAGCGAGTCTGGGAGGCAGGCTCCCCACAGAGGCTCGGCTGACACAGTTACACGTCTCAGGAATTCTAGGAAAGGGCGCTGGGCTCCCAGAAATGGGCTCCGTGTGTTCTCTCCTGCCCGGGGTAAGCCCTGCCCGAGCCCACCCCTCTCTTCAAAGGTTTAGTTTGTCCAGTAGGGAGAATTGCCGTAGGCGGGCTTGGAGGCTTGCGACTTGGGCTGCAGGGAGCTGGGCTGGCTGCGCTGACCCGAGCCACTCTGAGGAGGAGGAGGAGGAGGAGGAGGAGAGAGGGCTGTAAGGGCTGGAGCGGGACTCCCAGTCCAGGGCAGGGTGGCTGCCTCCATCACTGGGCTCACCTGGGCATCCTGTGGAAGGTGGTGGTGTAGCAGCTGTGAGTGAGGCTGCTGGTGGGCGGGGAGGATGTGCAAGAACGGTGGGGGCGCATAGCCGGGGGCTGCTCCAGCGGCCAGGGGCCCGGTGGAGCCCAAGGCCGAGGGCAGGCTGAACGGTGGAGGAGTCCCTGCATGAAATCCCTGCTTGTCAAAAGTCTGCAGGGTAAAGAGATAACTGTCAGGGCCAGTTTGGGCTGCACCTCCCACCAACCTACCCATCCACCCGAATCCTCCCTC